AGTACAATTCTTTCATCTGTGGGCAACGGATGGTTAGTCGAACTTGTGCCAGCCCTAGCAGGTGGAATATCCCTTTGAGCCAGCTTCGCCTTCATGTACCCAATAGGGTCATTTCGTCTCAGGAGAGCAAGCTCCTCTTCAGTCATTCGGGACAAACATGGTCGAGGGAGTTCCACACGCAGGGGAGTCACGTCCATTTCGACTTCCATGGGTTTATTGGTTGCGTCACCATCCCCTTCATTCGTTTCGTGCTCATTATCTTCTTCATCGTCATCCAAATCCACCACTTCGATGTCTTCGTTTTCGCTGCTATTTGCATTGGACTCTGTCCCAGCAGTCGAACCATCGTTGGCATCTCCTTCCTCAGACCCTTCTTCTGCAGATTCTTCGTTTCTTTGATCAGAATCGGCTTTCTCTCCTTCAGCGTGAGTGTCCTTTGGATCCTCTTGAAGGGTTTCAAGAGGGGACTTTTGAAGAGAAGTTCTTTGTAAAGCCTCTGCAGATTCATGAAGTGTTGCTTCATTTGTTTCTTTTAGAGGAGGAGAAGTACTCTGATCATCTTGCTGTTCAGAAGCCCCAGCCAGAACCGCCATATTGGAGGAACCTTTGTTCTGTACAAGGTTGCTGGAATCTCCTTGAGGAGAAGAGTTGATCGGAGCAGCAGCTTTCGATGGTGAAGTAGAAGTGGTAAGAGCCGGATTCGAAATGTCCTGCAGAGGCAAAAGAATATTAAAAGCATGCACCAAGGTAATGAATAAGTATTTTGTCAAAGATTTAAAGTTCAATTTACCTGTGGACTCTCAGAAGAGAGGTTGCTAGCTATGCGTTCCAACATTACGTTGGAGGTCGAAGGTGGAATTTTGGATTTAGGTGAGGGAGCAGCATCCCTGGAATCGAGTCCAGAGACACTAGTGGGTACAACACTTTTTGAAATATCCTTCTTCTGCTTCTTCTTCGAAGCAGCTGGTAAATTCCCTCCAGCTTTGGGGTCTTCCCCAGTAGTGTTTGTTTTTCGTTTCTTTGGAGTTGTTGGCGGAAGTTTGTTGGTCTGAAAAGATTTAAAACAATAAGTTAAGAGGCAAATCATGAAGCATTAGTGTATTCGAAACATCAAGGCTAAGTGATTACCTGTGGAGTTGGAGCACTGGTTATTACTGGTGTTGTTGTTGTTGTTGTTGCAGCAATTGTTGTTGGTTCAGATGGAGTCACATTGTCAATGGTTTCGATAGAGGCTTGAGAGGCGCTCCCTTCTTTTGACTTTGAAGCAGCAGTCTTTATCCTGATGGCTGAAAATCGAAACAATTAAGGCAAAAGTTAAAAATATAGAAAATGGGAAGCGTTTGGGATTTTCCCAAGCATTCGCACCTGTTCCTTGATCAGATTTAATCGACATGGCAGAAAGGTCATAGCGAAGATGTCCTGGGAAATCATGGAGCCAATGTCGAGCCCATGTCACAGTCTCAGATGGCTTTGGTTTCTTTTGAAGATATTTGAACATTTCTTTGCAAGTGAACCACCAAGGGTATGGAGGAAACCAAGCCAGAGCCAGTTCTGAGGTAGGTAATCTAGGAAATTTAGGTGGATGCATTTCGAATGCCAACCTATACCTTTCCTCAGGTGACAACCCTGAAGGAAGTTTTAACTTAGAAACTTTTTCTTTGAATTTTTCCTTCAAGGTCTCAGCCGCTTGATGCACAGTGGATTCCAAGTGTGTGGGATCATAAGTAGTTTCGAAATAACTTTGAAAAGCTTTAATCTCTTTGGCATGAGTGAACATACCTTTCTTGGATGGTACCTGCACATCGAATGCATCAGTTAGTTTCTGCTGAATAGTAAGAGTATCGAACATATAAGTCTGATAGAACTTTGTCCACCATTCCAGAAACCTCTTTGCTGTAAGGTGTGTAGGTTCGAAAGTTATTAGTTCAAAATGGGCGAAGCCTTGGTATTGTTCTTGCTGTAGTTTGGCTTTTCTTGCCTTGAAGGTTCGCCCAGAGGTAATGGCATTTTCCGTTTGGAATAGGGGTTCAGGAATTAGCTGGCACAAGCCAAATTGTCTCGAAACGAAGTTGGGTTGATAAGCGAAAAGGAAAATTTGATTCTTAGCAAGAGTAATTCTTGAAGAGATTAGTCTGGGTAGCAAAAAGGCTCTCCATACATCTTGAATTTCTTTGCTTTTGACAGCTTCTGAGAGAGCCATGGTGAACCATGAAGGTCCATGAGTCCTTGAAGCAAAAGGCGCCATGGTCTCTTCGAACTTATGCCTCTTGGAGAAAATCATGATGTATTTTGAGAAGAGAACTTTGAAATCATCCTTATCATCGTTTGGGGTAAGTCTTCGCAGCCTAGTGCCTTCGATGATTCTATCCACTATTTTTGGGTCTTGTTCAGCAATAGTGTTGGAAGTTGATAATGAAGGTTCGAACATGGCATTTAGCCATAACTGGAGTAACCAGAAAGGACCAGCTAGCAGAATGTTCTTGGAGGTGTGAGATTTCAGACTCGAAACAGCTGACCTTAGGCTTTCATAAAGATCAACTAATAGCAATTCGCTTAAACACACCCTCTGGTTCTCATGCAAATCTCTAGCTAGAGGAATAAACCTACTGGCTACCTGCAGGGATCTGCTGCAAAAGACATACCTTGACAACCATAAGGTAAGAAAAGCAATGTGTTCTACATCCGATACACTGTCTCCTTCAGTGTGATAGTGGCTGATAAACTTTGAAAAGCTAGCTAGCTTGACTTCGAAGTCAATAATACTCGAATGCTCTTCATTGTCAGGGATATATGTTTCTCCTATTAGTGATAGCCCAGTAATGGCTGCTATGTCAAAAAAGGTGGGTGTAATCATCCCACCAGGGAGATGGAAAGTATTGTACGTACTGTCCCAGAAATATAGGGACGCGAATAACAATGGGTGGCTATAAGTAAAACCTGGTTTCGACAGTTTAATCAAGTTGTAGATACTTAATTCTTCCCATTGCTGGGATTTTTTAGCTTCTACCTTATTAAACCAGTTATGATAAGCTGTGTCGGAGGTGGGGCAAGATCGAAACGGTTTGAAGTTACTCTTTACATAATCTAGTACAAAAGGGTCCTTAGGAGGAACGATTGGATTTTCCACGGGGTTTGAACCAGAAGACTCTATTGTCTTAGGGGCGTCCATTTTATTAAACAGAGGTTTGAAATTGTAACAAACTGGGAAAATTTTTCTGGTGTCTTTTAAAATTTCAAAAACTGTAAGAGGACCCATTAAAGCTAACCTCTTGCCAGCGGCGTTAGTAGGAATTAGTACCTGGGATGCATAAAGCATTTCTTTCTCTTTTGAGATCATCTGGGGAACAAGAACATATTGACCTTGGTAGGTGCCAACCTTGCTTTCCATTGTGGTTCCTGCGGTCTTTCCTTTCTTTTTAGAAGCCTTTTTTATTTGAGATGAAGTTGAAGAAGACATTGTTGGAAGAATGTTGGAAGTTTAGGGTTTCGGTGAGCAAAGAGGGAGAAAAGATTCAGAATGTGGGAAGAAAAGAAAAGACTAAGTTGATGGGTTTTTATAAATGTGGAAGTTTAAGCATCCACTGAGTAAGGTTGTGATACGTGGTAATCGTGGGTTGGTTTGATGAAGAGGTGGCGTAAAGTTAACATTGGTAATAGGCGTGATTAAAGATAATCATTGTTTTGTAACTGCACCATGCTGTGAAATGGTTCAAGGCGGTTAAGGAATCTGAAAAGCGTTGTGATTGACGTGACTGGAGTCATGTGCAATAAATGTTACGATGATTCGAAGGTCGCATCAAAATCTTGTGTATATGTTTAAAATAAGTATTTCTCAAAGGAATCAAAATACATATTTTAAAGGGGCATTTTGTTGGCTGAAGATTTTGATGATATTATTATAAGCAAAGCAAATTGGACGTTTCGATTGAAATAAAGCAAAATGTCATGTTTCGAAATGGTAGAAGCAGTGTTTCGAATGGACATATCAAAGTTTGGGGCTTCGAGTGACAGTTATGAGAATATATTCGAAGAAGCTTCGAAATGATAACAAGGTTGTGTCTAAGAAATGCGTTCGAAACGAAGCAGTGTCAAAACATTTGAAATTCAAATGCAAGCGGGATGTTCGAAATTTGAAATATATGCGCTGGAGCATTCGAAGACGCGTGGAAGCAGGAGAGAGGCATTGCTCTGCATGTTCTGAACGTGGAAGAATCTTATAGCAAGACCGTTATGGTCGAAGTAGTATAAATAGAAGTCTTAGCATTAGGATTTCGTGTGTCATATCTATTGTACAAAAAACTCAGTAGACATTCAAATTACCACATGGCTAGGGAAACGAATGCACGAGCAATGTACGTATGATAACACCAAATGTTTATGATTTAATGAAAACTCTTTATCATTTCCAGTACTTTCCTTTATCTTCATGTCAATACCATTCAAAAGCTTTTGCACTAAAATGTTTTCGTTCGAAGTCTTTTTACTAATGTCTTACATTTAAATGCTTTCTTCTCACTTCAAATACTTTACATTTCAGAAACTGTTTAACATTTCATGTCTTTATCTTTAAGCTTTTATCATTCGAACACCTTTTTCACTTAAAGTCATTTTACTGTTTTCTTGCATTTAAACGCTTTCTTCATATTTCGAATCTTTTACGTTCCAGAGAATCTTTTACATTACATGTTTTTATGCTTCGAAGTCATTTACATGTTTTTATGCAGTTTTTACATGTCTTTACAATTTCATTCATGCAATTTGGTTTCACGCACATTTACTTGATCATGCCTTTAGATTTTAATAGAGTAATCGAAGTAAGTTAAGCACCTACACAATATTCCAAATACCAACCATGAATACCAGTTCTATCATGAGAGTTACCATAATGACCAATACATCCTAGGATCAATCTAGTCGATCCTGCGAGTTACCAGAGAGATTGAATAACAGTCGGTAAGATTATTCGATAGTTTGGAGGACTAGCGGTTGTTTACCAGAAATCACTGTAAACAGGCATATATGTATCCCATTGCGGGTTTCTTTTCATTATCAACCATTCTTAGCACATCTACAAGAGGCGCCATGCACTTAAGAGTGTAGAGAACATCATTCCAAAATGAAGCCGTAAGTATAGTAGTGGCTGCCCTTTGTCCTTTGGCATCTTTGGCACACTTGGAAGTCGTCCATTCTTCACAAAGAAACATCTCTCTAAGCTTGCCTTTTAGTTCTTGCATCCTTTGTAGACAAAGGAAATGGGTAGCAAACCTTGTCACTCCTTGTCTAACCAATTCAACATTGCCGGTAGTCTTTCTCATTAGATTTAAAGCAAAAGTATGGTTATAAATGTAGCCCACAACCTTAACCCCTTTTTGTATAACCTTTTTAACCTTTGGAATTTTGCCTATGTCTTCTAACATAAGGTCTATACAATGGGCAGCACATGGAGTCCAAAACATGTGAGGCCTCTTCAAACACAATATTTTACCCGCCGCTACATAATTACTTCCATTGTCGGTAATCAATTGAACAACATTTTTTTCACCCATTTCCTCAATAAAAGTGTCCAATAATTCGGCTAGCTTTTCCCCCGTCTTGGCATAGTCTGATGCATCAACACTTCTCACAAACATGGTCCCCGCCGGACAATTGACCAAGAAATTAATCAATGTTCTACCTTTTCTATCTGTCCAACCATCCGACATAATTGAACATCCATATCTATTCCTTTGCACCTCTTGGTTTTTCAACAAATCTTTTGTATATTCCAACTCTTTCTGAAGGATTGGAACCCTGAGTTCATGATAACTTGGCGGTTTCAAATGAGGACCATAACTTCCAACGGCTTCCAACATCAACTTAAAAGCTCTTGCATGTGCTACGTTAAAAGCAACCCCACACGTATAAAAAAAGCGACCAATATATTGAATGGTTCTTGCCCTCGCTTCTTTATCACACGCATCGTTGATGCTTGTGTCCTTACTCTTCTTATACACCAAATCCAACGGTCCTTTAGTCTTCTTGAAAGCAATTGAAGAGCTCTCACTCTCCGCAATCCTCTTTCCGGTTCGAATTCTACGTATTTCCTCAATATCAATTGTATCATCCGCATCCAATTGCACTGAAATCTCTTGTATTCCTTTCTTAATTCTCTCTTTATCAACCATGTCAACACGTAATATAGCCTTAACATCGTCGGGTGTTTTCGTGCAAGAAATTACATCACCGGTAATTCCTAATTGATGCCTTTTGGCTCTACTTATTCCCCCACTGCTGGTTAAATTGCAAAAATCACATGTCACCTTCTTCCTATCATTCAAATTCTTCAAATGATTGTATTTCCATCATATGTCCTTACTATTGGTTGGTTTGAATGTTGGAGCACATGAAGCTACTGACGGTGTCGACGAAGAAGCTGCCATATTTTTCTAGAACAGAAACAAAAAAAGTAAGGACTAGAATAGATAGAAAAAAAAGTAGAAACAGTACGTTGCTGGCTTGCTGGCTTGCTGGAAAGGTGAAGAAGTATTAGAGTATATGGATTATGGCATAAGTATAGAAAGGGTACATTTACACATGGCATAAGTATAGAAAGGGCATGTGTCATTGCTGTGCTGAGTCAGCACAGTGGGGTTGGAGTATATTAACTCTACCCCTTTTCCAATTGTACCTTGTTGGCTTAGAAAAAAAAAACTAGAAACTGTGAAACTGGAAAGTGTATCACATGTAAATAGAAGAAGTGTACCTTGCTGAATTAGAGTTGTACCTTGCTGATTGGCTAAGTAGAAGAAGAAGAGTGCTTGCTGGAAAGGTGAAACGGAAACGGTGGAAACGGTGGAAACGGTGAAGAGAGACGGCGACGAGAAACGGCGAAGAGAAAAGCTGGAAACAGGCAAGGAGAAAGGAGAAGATACGGCAGAGAAAAGCTGGAAACAGTAAGAGACGGCAGAGAGAGGAACGGTAGGGCAAGGAGAAAGGAGAAGCGGAACGGTAGGGCAAGGAGAAGAAAAAGAAACGAACGACAGAAAGAAAGGAACGTGAGTTATAACAAACTATTTTACATATTATTTTATAAAATAATAAGGGCAAAACAGTAATTTTGTTTAAAAAAATTTATAAAAAAAAAAACTGCAGATCTGCTCTGCCCGGGAAAAACCCGCGACGGGCGATCCGTTATGTCATGAAAAGCGGCCGCTCTCCCATCTCCGCTACCGCCCCCATGTTAGCGCGCGGGAGGCCACCGCTCCGCTACGGAGCGCCGCTATAGCGGCCGCTACAGCCGCTTTTGACAACTCTGCTAAATACTAAAACATATGAGAGTTCGTTTCTATAAGAACACCACTTAACATTTAAAACCCTAAAATATGAAGCAGATAACGAAGAAACTGATACTAACCGTATGTACCTTTGATTTCGCCTTCAATCATTGTTTCCTTCACTCGTTTTTAGCTTCAATTATGATTTATCCTTGAAAGATTCTTCAAATATCATCTCTTCCACTCGTTCTCTCCCTCGTAGTCACCTTCCTTTGTTTTCCAGGTTTGGAAGTGTGAGCAAATTAATCACCTTCGTTTGATTTTAGCCATTCAACTTTTAACTTCATTTTATATGCACGCCATCTTATTTATCTCCACGTCAACACCTCATTTCCACATCATTACCATGTGGCTATTTAATTTGACTTTGACTAACAAATCTACTAGAAGGGAAAATCGTGACACATTATGAATAGATAAATGTAGTGACGGAGCCAGGAACATAGGCCAGGGGGTGCAAACTGTATAACTTCAATTAATAATTTATATATAAATATAAATAAATACTTCAAATATAAATATATTATACTCAAATAAGTTACCTTTTTGAAAGTCATAGCAAGGTAACCTAACAGAGATGGACCCTTATTAAAAAAATAATGAGTAAGAGATCCAAACATATGCACATTTTATCAATTTCAATTTGCATAAATGAGAAAATCAATAAATGTATCACATTCTAATAAAAACATAAATGTATAGTCAAAACATCCTGAAATTTATCAACACATAAAAATACAAAGCAATAGGGTCATTCCTAATGACGCTTAAGATTAAGTTGGTAAAAAATTTCAATGTGGTTTCTATACATTTCACATTCTTTTCTAACATCTCACTGTGGTTTCTTATATTAGATAAATTGACTTTATTTCTTTGTTAACTTATGATGCCATACACTTGTATATTGCATACTTTATTAAGAAAATCAAAGTATAACATTTTCACCAACCTACTAACAGCCAAGTAAATGTGTGCTCCTCTTATCATTGTGTCATAAAATCTGGCAACATCATTCTTCAACCTTATTCCAGCTTAACTTCATATCCAATAAGAAACAAAATACACTCAACTTGTCATTTGTACATAAGTAGACACCACAAATATCTGACTTGTACTCCAAATCTCTAACTAAAACAAAGTCACTCCAAGTATTTTAGAGGTCCGAAAATTCCGTTGAATTTCATTAGTAGAACTCCATGAAAATTCGTCCATAATGTCCTACAATGAACAAAAACAACATTAACAATGAGAAAATGTCAGAAATTCAACCTGTTATCAAACAACAATGAGTAATTTGAGCAAATCAATAATTAAAAAGATCAACAACAACATTGAAATAAAAAAGAAAGAAAAAATATTCATAGATAATATATAGATGATATATTGTCCTCATCAGTTAACTCAAAATCAATTCACTTGTCCCTTAAACTATTTTTATCCATTTGATTTATATTTTTCTCTAAACATAAGCCTTCAAAGATATGGTGGTGAATGTTTAGTCTTTCTCTTATAGAAACATTTTTTCACTAAACAAGATGTGAGAATATATACAACTTGATGAAGGGAAACCAAATTAAATGAAGGGGGGTTTTTCCAACAGAACCCTAAAATATAAAGTTTTAAATTTATATATCTATGGTGGATTGCATGATACTAAAGGCTTCAAAAACATATTTGTGAGTTGGATAGTTGTTTTCTGGATAGAGAAGGGTGGAGAAAAAAAATTTGTGACTTGTATAGTTTCTTTTGGAACAGAGAAGGGTAGAGAAAGAGAGGAGGACAGAGAAGGACCTGAAATTTCTTGCTTACTAGTTTATTTGACAAACGCATGAGACAAGAAGAGAAAAAGAGGAGGATATATGTGGCGAGTTGTAGTGGTGGTGGTGCTGCCGATAAGAAGTGGTGATTGAGAGAGTTTAGGGTTAGAGAGAGTTTTAGAGAGATGAAAAAAAATCTGAAATTGAAGAAATAAAATTAGTCTGACCATTTGAGTTAAGGGTGCAAAATCATTTTTTCAGGGGGTTCAAATGGTAAATTACATAGATACATAAGTGCATTTGTTATAAATTCAATTGAACTCTCTCTGCCACTAGATAAAGGATCAAATTGATGTTTTGAAAAGATAAGGGGCGAAAATAGACTCTGAAATAAAGATAGAGGACCAAAAATAATATTAAACCTTTATAAATTTCATCTTACATTTTATCCCAAATTTGTCTCAATATTTGTATAGATTCATGATAGATTTAACATAAGAATACATAAAATTATATATTTTTGTCTAAAATTTGTCTGTATATTTCCTAGGTGTGATATATTTGGGATAAAAACTCTCGGAATATTATGTAATAATTAAAATATGATTTATGTCCTAAACATATCTATACTTTTCACATAGATTGGGATTAACTTAATTATGTAATAGTAAGTTAGATGTTGACGTGAGTCACAAATTTGCCTCAAATTTTTGATGGAAATTAACACATAATAACAGATCAATACACGACGAATATAAAATTTCACAAACTTGTAAGAACCTATTAGGATCAACGACAAATATATGGCAGCAAATCGAACAAATAAAGGCATAAAAGAACATCGGTATTTTGACGTGGAAAACACTTCAAAATGAGTGTAAAAACCATGAATCGTTCAGACTAAAAAAATAGGTTCAATATAATAAAATAAGGGTAAAATATAGTTTTAAAGTGATTCATACTAATGTTAACAATTTCAAATCAGAAATAAAACTAACTTACAAATAAGAATCAAGAAGGTTAAAAAAATACTCAAATCTGCAGCTTCAGTGCGAAGCAAATATCTCTTAGTTCAGACCTCATTTTGAAGATCTAGGGTCAAAAGTTTGATACAAGATTCATGAACCTACCCTCCAAATTTGAGTTTGATCCGACGGTTAACGAATTCAGAATCTCCAATTTAGTGAGACTAGATGCAGATAAACGAGAATAGGTTTCTCTCCTCTTTTCTCTCTTTTGAATCCTTATTTTTTCTCTATCTCTCTCAACTCTAAATTGACCTTCTCCACTTAAATAAGTGAGGCAAATTGGCTAATCATATTTGGGCCTTTCTCCAATAGGAAGGGAGCCTAAACCCAAAAAATCTCCCATTCATAACTATGTGGAGCAAATCGCCAATCTGAAGATATCACAACAAGCTTCAAATTTCCCTCTTGATAACGCTTTAGTCATCATATTAGAATGATTATCATTTATATGCAATTTAGCTAACTCCAATAACTTAGCATCTAAAATATTACATATCGAGTGATATCTCACATCAATATGTTTGGAACTATTATTAAAAGTTGGAGCCTTACCAAGATGAATAACAGTTTTACTATCAACAAATAACACATGTTTGTCTTGAACAAAACCAAGATCCTGCAAAAAATTCTTTAACCAAAGTAACTATTTGCATGATTTGTTAATGGCAATGAACTCAACCTCTGGACTACCAATCTACAACTCCCCTGCAAATTTAATCATGTAGCTTGAAGTGGACTTTCTGGAATCAATGTCTCCACCCATATCAGAATCATAGTACCCCACTAGAGTAGGCTTATCTCCTCCAAAGCAAAGCCTTATAGAAGTAGTATTGCGAAGATACCTTAAAATCTATTTTATAGTATTCCAATGCTCTTTACTTGGATTTGAAAAAAATCTATTAACTGTACCAACAACATGTGTTATATCTTGTCTTGTAAACACCATTGCATACATCAAACTACCCACAACAGATGCATAAGGAACATTTTTCATATCAAATGTTTCATCTTCACTTGAAGGACTTTGATTAGAGCTCAACTTGAAATGAGTAGCGAGAGGAGTGATTAACGCCTTAGAATTTTCCATTTTGAATTTTTGCAGCACTCATTTGATATAATTTTATTGTGAAATGCAAAGTTTCTTCTCTTTTCTATCACACATGATTCTAATGCCAAGAATATTTTTACTTGCTCCCAAGTCTTTCATAGAAATGACTCGCCATACTGCTTCTTTAACCTGTCAATGTTAGAAATAACTTTTTCATATAATAAGAATATCATCAACAACATATAGCAACAAGATAATGAAGTCAACATTAGAAAATTTCTAACAAAGAAGCAATGATCTAAAATAGTCTTCTAGTATCCTTGATCACATGTAATAAGCTCAAATTTCTTGTACCACTTCCTTGGAGCTTGCTTCAAACCATATAAACTCTTTCTCATTTGATCTTATTTTCCTTTAACTTAAAAACCATCAGGTTGTTTCATGTAGATCTCTTTCTCTAAATCATCATAAAGGAAATACGTTTTCACATCTATTTGCTCAACCTCTAAATCAAGACTAGCAACCAAACTAAACACAATAATGATTGATGACATATTTACAATAGGTGAGAAAATATCATTAAAATCAACACCCTTTCTTTGACGGAAATATTTCACCACTAATATGGATTTATACCTTAGATACTCAAGGTTGCTCTCATGTTTAACTCTATATATCAACCTTTTTCCAAATCCATTTTTCCTTTAGGAAACTTCACTAAGTCATAAGTGAGATTATCATGCAAAGATTTCATATCATCATGCATTGTATCCAACCACTTTTGATTTTCATTACTTTCCATGGCCTCTTGAAAACACTCAGGTTCCCCCTCATTAGTCAAGGTCGCATACTCATCAGAATTATACCTTGTAAAAGGTTGTCTCTACCTATTAGACATCCTAAGTTAAACTCGAGATGATTCTGGAGCTTCACCAAGATTCTCATTGTAACACCCCATTTTATTTAATATTATATTATATTAATATTTTCGAATTACCGTTTGACGTTTATTTTAGCGACGAGAATTTTTAAATTAACCGGTATACCCGTTAATATATTCGGCGACATTTTATTGGAACCGATAATTATTTTATTCGGTCCGGTATTTATTTTGAGGGACCGGTAATTATTTTGTTCGGTCCGGTTTTTATTCCGTTCGGTTCAGTAGAATATTATTCGGACCGATATTTAATTATTTGGAGTTATTTTAATAATTTGGGTTAGTAAGACTAGTGGAGGGTAGTATGGTATTTTCATGTTGTCTTAAGACCAAAATCC